AGAGAGAGAGAGAGAGAGAGAGAGAGAGAGAGAGAGAGAGAGAGAGAGAGAGAGAGAGAGAGAGAGAGAGAGAGAGAGAGAGAGAGAGATGCGCCGGGAGGGGAGGCAGGACCCCTCCTCCACCAACCAACCAACCAATCAACCAATCAATCAATCAATCAATCAATCAATCAATCAATCAACCAACCAATCAATCAATCAAAAAAAACAATCAATCACTGAAATGTTTTTTTTTTTTCTATTTTTTTAATTATTTTAGTTAGTCATGAAAAACACCCCCCCCCCCCGTGTAGGAGACGACGTGCGCCGCCCGCGCGCGGCCGCGCGGGAATTCGGCCGCGCGGCCTAGGCTGCGCGGCTCGGACTGGGCCGCAGGATCCGCGGCCCAGGGTGCCACGTAGGTGGTGGGCGCGTTGCAAATCCCCATTGGGCACTGAACCCATTGCCACGTGCCTTCAAACAGTACGAAGGCCGTCTTCGGTCGATCTTCCTCCTTGACCGGAATGTGATGGAAGCCGTGTTGAATATCATACTTACAGAAGTACTTAGCACACCCACACACCCAATCGCATCCAGCAAATCATCAATCCTGGGAAGGGGATACACATCTTTAATCGTGATGTCATTCAACTTGCGATAATCAATGCATATGCAAATCGATCCATTTTTTTTCGGCACCAACACTACCGGGAATGACCATGGCCCAGTAGCGGGTTCGATCCGACCGCTTGCTTCAAATTCTCCAATCCGCTCGAGAGCCTTTTTCCGTTCTACCAGGGAGTATCTGTAAGGTTTGAAGTGAATTGGGGAATGGTTTCCTGTCTGGATCTCATGCTGTATGACCAACGACAGTCCAATGTCTGTGTCCGTCACACTAATCGCTCCCTTGTATTCCTTTAGAATGTCTGCGATTAGGTGGTGGATCTCCTCAGGTACGTATCGGGGTACGTGCAACTCATACAACTCATCCCATATCCTTACATCGATGTGTTTTGTATCCACCCGCTTGGTGTTCTCTGGCGAGGGCGCGGAGATGAATGAGTTATCCGATCGCCACTGATTCGCCAGGAAAACACCGTGGCCATCATCTGTGCATCTTGTTCTCGAATGGCCACGTGTTCCTCCGGTGTTACTCCGTCTCGAATGTCTTGCCACGCCACAGGTTTCGTTGCGATCTTGATCCCGAGTCCGTTTTCGAGGCGCTTAGGGGGTTCCAAAGAGTTGGTCTCTGGCCCTAAGTGTAACAATCGAATCTCTTTTGCAGGTCTCAAAAGGGATTTCGGGAGATTCTTGATATCGCAGTAGTGCCTTTTATCATTGTATCGGGCGAGAAGAGGGGAGATCCCTTTGTACAGGGATTGAGGGGGTTCCAAAGAATCGACCATCTTTGAAATCTGTACGAGAGGTTCTCCCATAATCATTGTCTGTGTTCTCTGCAAATCTTGGATAGTCCGGCTCAAGACTTCTACATTTGTCCGTTGCGCGGGATGGTGAATACGTTGCTGCGCCATCTCCAAGATTACTGGATCGTCATCATCACTGTTGACCGCGTCTTTGGATGTCTGCCCGTTGTCCCAGGTAATCACGCGAAGAGTCCCCGTCATTGCGGGAGAAACTCGCGGGGCTATATTAGTGGTAGTACGAAGAGTCAGTCTCATCGGCACAACATACGGTTTTCCTCTCGTATTTCGGAGGACAATCGATCGTCTTTCAAACTCCAGATTGGTGTGCAGTGCTACCAGTGCGGGAAGGCCAAAAAGTACGTCGTAAGTATTGACATCTAGAACTACGACGTCTCCCAACGCATGTACCTTCCCTAATCGAAAGGCAACGTTAGTCATTCGTCCCACCGTTTTGATCTTTTCTTCATTTGCTGAGACGAGCTGATCCTTTTCTGTAAGCGTGATCAGATCGTTCTTTCTTCCTGCTCTCTCCACTACTCGTAAGGAGATAGCTAACACAGTGGGTCCCGAATCGATAATGGCATTATATGGAATTCCCCATACCTCGATGTCGCATTCCGCGGATTTCCATGGGATGGGTTTAATCCACAGGAAGTCATCATCTTTTTGGATTAGTCCTATGCATATGGGATCGGAAGTACCTCGGCATTTTCGTCCGGTGTTGGTCCTTTCGTTTTTGTGTTTGCTGCTCAGGTAAGAGCAAAACGTTTCCGATTTGCTTTGCAGTGCTGCAGCATACGTTCGTTGGCCTGTTCTGATATCGAAAGCAGATGACGGATGCTTTTGTTGTTAGACCAAACTCAACAGAGATTGTGTATTCCTCACCAGGAAGAAATTAAAAGTCTGCTTATTGGAGAATGTCATGACACTGAAGGTCATTTTAGTTTAAGAAAACTTACGCGCTTATTGGGGAATGTCACGACGCTGAAGGTCATTTTGGTTTAAGAAAACTTACGTCGGGGTTAGAGAACGTTTTGAGTGGAAGGGATTGAAAGAAGATGTACTTTAGGAAGGGGGATTCGGTGATCTAAGGCTCGTACGATGTTTAGAACATCGATTTACCCTGTGACGAAAGTGCGTCCTCCCGACTCCATCTCTCCTATAAAAGGTCGCCACTCCGCCACTTCTCGTTGTTCAGGCGCGGGTGTAATCGTACCAATCATCCCAAGCCCCGGATATCCCAGTGTTACATACCGATCTAATGGAATAAACTCTGCAGCTTCCTCCATTGTTGCTAACGTAGTTCCGCTTCCCTCTACTTCTCCCATCAAAGTTCCTACCCGTCCGGGTCCATTGGCGATCGGGGCCGCTGCTACTGGTGCGGCTCCGACTCGTTGCTGTGGGGGTCAATGAGGGCAATTTCGGGCTATATGCCCTGGTTGGTGACACGTGTAACAGACGTTCAGATTGCCAGGGATCCCTGCAGGAGGGGGTGTCGGGGCCAATCCATGTTGAATCGGGGCGGCACGCACCGCTATTGGACGCATCAACCTCATCATTGCTTCTATTCGAGCGTTATGTTCTCGTTGTTCCTTTTTGCTTTCTTGAATCAGAGTAACCAATGTCTTGGTTAGTTCTAATAGGGCGGAAGACTCATTCGGTCGCGCGGGGGTTTCGATTGGTGGCGGGGGTGCTGTCATCACGGGCACGGAAACGTTCGTAATCATGCTCGGGACCGATCGTTTGGGAGTAATCTGTTCCAGATAGGTAACAGGGTCCGACACAAACCCCATGTTTTCAAATTTGTTCTGCAGGGCAGCTAACTCAGCTTTAGCTCTCGCTAGTTCGGACGAGTCTCCTTTCCTAGGATAGTCTTCTCCCTCTAGGAAACTCGCAGCGAACTTTTATTCCATTTCTTCCGCGGCTGCCATGATCTGTTGCAGCGTGTGATTGATGGGGGAAAACAACTTTCGCAGTTTCGCCCTCATCGTTCGGCTGCGAAGTTCATCAATGAACAAATCTCTATTCAGTTGTTCGCCTCGTTCTGTTTTCGCAAACATCCTATAGAATCAGTTTCGATACTCGGTAACAGATTCGAGGGGGTTTTGAACTCGATCTTTAATCATAAAGAGAGCCTGTTCTGGGTGGATGTAATCGAAACGGTTCAAAAGATCTCGCTCGAATGTCGGAAGATCGACCCATATATAGGTACTAAACTAGTGATAGGCATCTCCTCCCAATCGTGCAGGGATGTTCACTTGTGCCTCGTTATCATCGTACTGTTGAGCCCGGAGCGTGGCTAGCCATGCCCCAGCGAGGTGATGAGCAAGATCAAATAGGTAAAGATTGGGTGGCGTCATGGGAGCCCGTGCTCGTGGTACAAGTTGATTCGGATTTTGTTGGGGGTTCGGGTTTTGTTGGGGGTTCTGCTGATTAGCATTCATATTGATCGTCCGTCGAGCCGCAGACCGGCTTCTGGTGGCGACGGGATCTCGTCGGTGCGCGTTCCGGGGTCGAGGTTGTCCCCTGTTAGCCAGATCGCCCAGCTATGAGTCCTAGAACCCTGCCACGTGTTAGGCTCCGATACCAACCTCACGCCCAGTGCGACTTCCTGATTGGAGTGGGATGTGGGCCTAGAAGTGCGAAAAGGGGTGTGCCAAGGATTTTTGAGGAAAGTGGGGGTGGAGCCCCAGGTAGGAACTGAGATCTCCTGTGGCA